CGTGTTAAGTGGGAAAATCCCACATCGAGTATAAAAATAAGAAGCTTGTGGGTTAAATACAAGGAGGGCTACTCCACCTATTGCCAATTGGTTTTAGGTTGGATGCAAGCCTTGTGTTGAGCCCACATGCAGGATTTTCAATACCATCTTGATACTCTCTGCATACATGATTACAAAGTATATAATTTTAATCAGAATTCAAGTCATACCGCCGTAGTTGACTTCCAAGACATCAATGAAAAAGTAAAATTGAATTCGACCTGCAGAAATCATGTTTGTTCCTCCCAGTAAAATTTCAGTAGAATTTATAAAGGCAGATATACATACTTCTTTATACTCCTCTGAGTTGGGTGCACTACTAATGAAGTAAGCACCACAAATCAAGGAAGCTACAACAAAGAGACTACAGAGACACGGCCTACTCTTTGAATCTGATAGTGCACAACCCTGCAATGCAAGACAATATTATAATAGCATGAGAAATGACAATCACATGTAAATTATTGAGTGAATGAATTAGAACCTTAAACGGCAATAAAGAGTTTGTTTACTAAGCTGACATGTGAGAGAGACCATCGGCAAAATCAACTTCAGACATGTCTTAGGTTGAGTCAAACATAGATGCAGATGTGTCTTAATACAACGCCATTTTCTATTAACTAATCTAATGCCACTCATCGGTGGAGAAAACAATGTAGTAACTGTCAACAGTGAATTCAAGTAAGTTCTGACAAACCAGACTGTCAAATTTAGCTCATGTTTTGTATCGGTTAAGAGTTAAAAACTCAATTAAGTATTTAAAAGCCAAATCCATTTCTTCTCCTTCAGTCTTCCCACGTTCAACAGGCACCCCCTAAAGAAAATCCATTGAACAATTCAATTTCATCGAAGAGGCATGATTGGGGAGTCAAAAACACACCTTGTTTATGTACTAATGAAAATTAGAACATAACTTACATATAACTCAAAAACCCGAATAATTAAATAAATAAGAAAGAAAATAGAAATGATTACTAGGAAGGGAAAGTAATTGAAAAGGCCCAGAATTTTGATTTTTTCCTTCTCCATCCTCATTTTCTCAGCAGGCAAACACAAGCTTAAAAGGCAAATAAAAATGATTTAATTCCTAAACCGGTTAAACATACCCTCCTTTTCATTTCTTCAAAATCTCTCTCATGTTATGATTAAGACAAAAGAAAAAAAAATCCTTGATCATGCATCATCATCAATCATCAATGTATCAAGAAATGAAGCAGAAGAATGAAACGAACCCGAAGTGCAATGTATAGTGAAGCGAAAAACCAACAGAAAATCAGCATAATCAAACAAAATCAACATAACTTCAAGATGATACCTACAGAAAACATAAGGTAGAGAAGGAGGAGGAGGAGGAAGCGGGAACTTACATAGTTGAAAGTCTTCATTTTGGAAGAAATATCCAAAACCCAAAAGAGCCAGAGACGAATGTGAAAAGAGAGATATACCCAACTAAATAAAAGTGCTTTTCTTCCTTGATTAAAGTCCATAGCTAAAGCAAAGAATGAGAAAGGAGAGAAAAAGACGGGCCGAAAAAGGGAGAGCATCAAAGAGTAAAAATAAAAAGGAGTAGGGAAAAGCAGAGGACTTTCTTTGACTACTGTTGAGGAAACGGTGTCGTATATCTGAAGCAAGAGGCAAAACAAGGCATCAAAGAGAAGGAAAGGGGAGAAGCAAGAAAGCATTAACCTTTCTTGCGAAGAGGATGGAACTGAAAGAAATAATTTTTTTTAGGGAATAAAATATCAGTTTTAATGGTACTTAAGTTGTTTCATGTTTTTTATTTCTGTCTGGAAAAAAAAGGAAAATAATTATAGAAAATGAGGGTGCGTTTAAGACGTGCTGTTGGAGAAGAAAGGGGAGAGTGTTACATGGTGGAATGTAGGAACGTGGGAGAAATTCCGAGTTTGGGAATGTTAAGGAAACTGAATCTACTGGTGTAATTACGTGAATCTACATCTACTACATTATAATTGCTAAATATATTGTATATATTTTTTTTTCCTCTTTTATTAAAATGACTTAATTACGTTCCCTATATATGTACTCTGTAATGTTACCAGTTCTATATATCAATAAGAAAGTCTTTTTCTTATTCCTAACCTTACAGTGGTATCAGAGCCTTTTATCTCTCACGAGTCCCTTGTTCCCATGGCCAATAACGATGAAACGCCCTATTCGGCAACCTCCAAGAATTCCGCTGTTTCCATCATTGACTCCTCTGCTTTCCCATCTCATTTAACTCCTCTGCTTTCCAGTTAAACTCACACAAAACAAGTACATGTCATGGAAGGCTCAAATTCTATCTCATTTATTAATTAAACAAAATAATTAATTTTTTATTTAAAAATAATATAATTTTTTCTGTTTTAAAAATAAAAATGAGATTGTAATTACGTTATTATAATTAATTTTATTTATTTATTTTCTTATTATTATT